CTTTGCTAATTATTCTACCCAATGGATATCGAGTGAAAGTGACAGAAATTAGAATTGTAACACTTACATCTCACATAGTATTACATAAAGTTTTTTATGTACCTTCTTTCAAGTATAATCTCATTTCCATTCATTGCCTTACTTCACAGCTTAAAAGCTTAGTTGCCTTCACTGACTCTTCATTTCTTCTGCAAGCCCCTTCAATGAAGAGGCCTCTGGAGATTGGTGGGATCAAGGATGGATTATATCATCTTTGCTCCAGCTGTCTAAAGAACTCAATTTCAGCTTCAGACTCTGCTCCTTTGAATTCTTGCACTATTTTACCTACTTCATGTCATGTAAATAGTTTACATTCTCACATTCACTCACATGTAAATGTTTCACATACTCACACTCATCCATGTTCACTTGTAAATACTTCCAATTGAAATAAAACACAGTGCTCTACTTCACAATATACTTTGCCTAATACAAACAGTGTGGACCTTATATGGCACAATAGGTTGGGACATGTACCTTTTGTGAAGATGAGGGGTATATCATCAATTCCAGTCCAATTTTCTTCAAAACAACCTTTCCTTTATTCAATTTGCCCTATGGCCAGAAATCCAGGCTACCCTTTCCTCAGAAAACAAGCTCCACCAGTAATATCTTTGATCTCCTACATGTTGACCTATGGGGACCTTATCATGAACCTACTCATGACAATTTTAAATACTTCATTACCTAGTGGATGATTATAGTAGGTGTACCTGGACACACATCTTAATATCCAAAAGTAATGCTTTACAGATCATTAAAGCCTTTGTGTCTATGGTCAGCACCTAATTTCAAACTAAAATCAAGTGTATTAGGTCAGATAATGGCCTAGAGTTTACCAACAGTGAGTCCACTTATTTCTTCCATTCCAAGGGAATCATTCATCAGAAAACATGCCCCTATACATCTCAACAAAATAGAGTAGTAGAAAGGGAACATAAGTACCTCCTTGAGACTGCCAGGGCACTATTGTTAAAATCCAAATTACCTCTCAAATATTGGGGAGAATGCATATTAACTGCCACCTACCTTATTAATAGATTACCTACTAACCATCTCAAAAACAGAACTCCTTTTGAATACCTATACAAAAGAGTACCTACTTATTCTCATCTTAGAAGTTTTGGTTATTTGTGTTTCCCTACCACTCCTAAGCCTCACAGAACAAATTTGAACCAAGAGCAACACCCCATGTTTTTGTAGGTTACCCCTATGACACAAAGGTTACAAGGTCCTTAGCCTACTTACCAAGAAAATCTCTGTTTCCAGAGATGTGGTGTTTTATAAGAGTGTATTTCCCTTTGCTATTTTATCTGACTCTATACCTTCTCCTTCTGTATTTCAATCTGTCCCTTTTGTTGATGATTTGCCTCCTCCTTATACCAATACTGATAAATCTACAACCCTTTCTCCTTCATCCAACATACCATCCTCATCCGTTTCTCCATTACATTCTTCTTCTACTCTTCATCCCATTTCTCCTCCTATAGCTACTAGAAAGTCTTCTAGACCTCATAAGTTACCTGTTCACTTAGAGGATTATGTGTGCTCTCTTCCCAACTTAAAAACTCATGTCTCCTCTGATTCTCCTTTGTCTCTTAGTGCTTTGTTCTCCAATCATCACCATGTGTCCCTTACTTCTTTACTCTCAGATAGTCAGCATCTTGTGCAAACTGTTTGTCATGATAGCGAGCATTCTTCTTATGAAGAGGTAGCCTTGCACCCTGCTTGGCAAGAGGCTATGTCTTTGGAGTTTGGGGCCTTACATGCAAATAACACTTGGGACCTGGTTCCTTTACCTTCTGGTAAGAAAGCCATAGGTTGTAGATGGGTCTACAAGGTTAAACACAAGGCTGATAGGAGGATAGAGAGATTCAAGGCCAAGTTAGTTGTCAAGGGCTATACCCAGCAAGTTGGGATTGACTACACAGAAACCTATTCTCCTGTTGTGAAAATCACTACAGTTAGAGCACTCATAGCCACTCCTGTTAAGAAACACTAGGGCATCTTCCAACCTAATGTGAACAATGCCTTCCTCCATGGTGATTTGAAGGAAGAAGTTTACATGCAATTACCACCTGGTTTGGTAGTAGACATATCTGGAGTTTTCGGCAAGTTAAGAAAATCTCTCTATGGCCTAAAACAGGCTAGTAAACAATGGTATGCATAATTGGCAACTGCTCTATATTCTAGAGGTTATGTTCATTCCTTGCATGATTATTCTCTCTTCTACAAGAAATCACCTTCTTCCATAATTTTTGTTGTTGTGTATGTTGATGATGTTATTATTACTGGGACCAGTTCTATAGAAATCACTGAATCGAAAACCTTCTTACATGACTAATTCAAGATTAAGGACTTGGGCAGACTTCACTATTTCCTTGGTTTAGAGGTTCTTTACAAAGAAGATGGAGTTATCATCTCCCAGAGAAAGTTTGCACTGGATCTCCTGAAGGAATTTGATTGTCTCAATTGCCCTAGTCTTACTTCTCCTCTTGATCCCAATGTCAAACTAAAAGCTAAGGAGGGAGCTGATCTTTCATATCCTACTTACTACAGGAAGCTCATAAGCAAACTCAACTTTCTTACTAACACCAGGTTGGACATTGCCTTTGGTGTTCAACACTTGAGCCAATTTATGCAGGATCCCCGCGAGCCCCACTGCTGCCCTTCACTTGCTTAGGTACCTCAAGGGTGATTCTACACTTGGTATTTTTATGTCCAATGATCATGATTGTACCATCAAAGGGTATTGTGACTTTGACTGGGCTGCCTGCCCAGATTCCAGAAGGTCTGTCAGTGGTTACTTGGTGCTGCTGGGTACTAGTCCTATTAGTTGGAAGTCTAAGAAACAAGAAACCATCTCTCTCTCTCCTCTGATGAAGCTGAATATAGGTCTTTTCAAAAGGTAGTTGGAGAATTGAATTGGTTGTGCAGATTGTTTGAGGAACTGACTGTTTCTTTTCCTACACCTGTGAGTGTATATTGTGACAGCCAATTCGCCTTACACATTGCTAGGAACCCTGTGTTCCATGAGCGGACCAAACACATCGAGGTTGATTGTCACTTTGTACGGGATAAACTTCAAGAAGGTCTCATATCCTTACATCATATTGGCACACACAACCAACTGGCAGACATTCTCACCAAGGCTCTCACTGGTATCAAGCATTCCACTGTGTTAAGCAAGTTGGCTGTGAAGACCTCACCTCCAACTTGAGGAGGGTATTGAGCTATGAATATTTATGTATTTCACTTACTGTTAGTTAGCTTAGCTTAACTGTTAATTAGTTAAATGTTAGTTTAGCTTAGGTGTCAATTAGTTGGCAATTAGTTAGTGTTCCATGTTATAAGTGGAGGACCCCACTCATGTATATATGTACTCACTTACTGAACAAAACAAGAGTTCATTTCAGAAGTTTATTCTCTCTCGAAGCAGCTTCTGCATTTTCTCCATGACAGCTCAAGCTTGAGCTCAAGGATCTATGTGGCTTCTCCCTCTTTACACATTACGTTTTCAAATTTATGTGTTTGGAAGAAATGACCAACCTCCATGATGGTAAAAATTGCAAGGCCGGGAAGTGGACCATCCCACAGTCACATGTACCATTGTTTGTTAGATATGAGTTTCAATGTACAGGATCTTAGCCATGTTTAGTTTCAGCACTTAACTCAAAATTTATGGCTTGTTTCAGTTTTCAAACTTATGTGCTAACTGAATAAACTGCTTACTTAATCATTGTTATATTTATTATAATTTATTATCCCATAAAGGTCTTGTTCCTCCGCTTAGAGGGTGGTAAACAAGACTTACTAGATACATTTGGGGATACTTAGCCTGATTAAACTTACCACAAAGCATGACAGGCGCTGAGTATGTAGGTGACAAAACCCATAGCTAGTGGCTGGATCCGTAGACTCAGAGTACATGTTCCATTGATTTCCTCCCCGCCATAGCGAACCTTCTCAGACTCTCATATTTTCCAAACATTGTTAGTTATTCCCATTGAGTGGCCCATAGACTTATATTTTCAAACTTGCAATTAGATGCTCATGACTTTGTTAGTGGATGTAGTTGTCACACATGTTAACGTTTATAATAAAATTCAATTTTCATACAATGATTTTCTTATTATGAATTTCTTGAGTATGATGTTAAGTGCGGACTTTCAGCTAGTTAAAACAAGGCTCGCTTGATGGGTTAGATAGCTCGGGTGCCATCACATCCCATCCTAGTATCGGGACGTAACAAGAACACACATAATTTAGTCTTAGAACAAATGAGAGTATGTTCAAACTTTTTTGCCCTTTCAAATGTATTAATTATTCTTCACCTACTCTCGAAAGTAATTTATTACTCCGCCTCATCCTTTTCGTATTTGTTTTTTTAAAGTTTTAGAATACTAGCAAAAATTTAATAATATTAATCATATGAATTATTCGATTAAATTAATTTTTTATCTCTTTGCAAACTTATTCTGAAGAAGGGTACGCAGGAATTCTTTAAAAAAGATTTATAGTCATTTACCAGAAAAATAATATATTTTGAGAAATATGCTTAACCATGGGCGGATTTATAGTGTACCGAAGGACTTACGTGAACCCGTGGTCTTCGTCAAAAATTATGTATATTATGTGTATAATTTATATAATTTATCTAAATACTACCTTTGTGAACCTATAATTATATTTGTTGTGTTGGTTCACTAGTTAAGTAGCTCTAATTTTTCTCTAAGGATCGATTCTTCTTGAGTTCATTTATTCTATTTTTTTTATACTATCAAACTAGTGGTGAACTTATCCTTTAAGAATCCTAAGTTCGCCCATGTGCTTAACGTCTATATTGGCTTTCTAAATCAAAAAACTATTTTATGCCAAATAATACAAAGCATAGGAGGAAACAATATTATATTTTAAAAAAAAAAAGTCAAAACAAAAAATGAAAAGAAGAGAGAAAAAGAGCAAACAAATGAAACACAGGATTTACTGTATGGGAAATTTTATACTCCACTATCTTATCAGGAAATAAATCCGAATTCTCTTTTGTCCTCCAATGGAAGACTCCCCTAAGCAGCCTCTTCTTTCACCTTGTGAACCCCAAATCACCGCACAAACTTCTGCATCTTCTTTTGTTGCTGATATTCCCCCTATCACTGGAATCCAAGATTTCTTCAGAGAGTTTTTTGTTGAATCTAAGAAATTATGGTACCTTGCTGGTCCAGCTATTTTCACCTCCCTTTGTCGCTACTCTCTTGGTGCTGTCACTCAAACATTTGCTGGACATCTTGGAACTCTTGAGCTTGCTGCTGTTTCTGTTGAAAACTCTGTCATCGCCGGTTTCTCTTTTGGTATCATGGTAATGAAGTGCCACATTTTAAGTGGCACTATTTCCTCTTTAGTAATTAAAAAATGAAGACACTTTTATATTTGAAACTCTTTAATCTTTAAATTTTATTTTATCTTAAATTAGTACTTCATTTATGATAGAATCTTAATAATACCAAATATGTCTAAGATGAATATACATGGAACGACATGGTCATTTAAAAATCATATAGCCGACCGATCCCAACTTGCTTAAGATTGAGGCATATTTTTGTTAGTGTTAAAACGGGGCAACAATGACTAGTAGATCTCGTGTTTTGCAATTCATATTGGAATCTGCTAGTTATTGGACAGATTCATTCATCTTCACGTAGTGGTGGAAAAGAATGTTTCGGAGGCAGAGAGCGATTATAAACTTCACCTCTTTTTGGACCTTTGACAATTTTCGTAGACCTGAACTGCGTGTGCGCTTCTGCCATAACATAATCCTCTGTGTACTTAGTGTATAATTTCAACATTATCTTCCAGCAGAATTCCATATTGGCTACAAATATGTCGGAACAACCATGTTACTGATTTTACTATGAATATTTTGATTTATGTTTGAAATTTTAATGGTCCTTTTTTTGTTATTTTGGACAGTTGGGAATGGGAAGTGCGTTAGAAACACTATGTGGACAAGCATTTGGAGCAGGACAAATTGACATGCTAGGAGTATACATGCAAAGATCATGGGTTATTCTTAATACAACGGCAGTAATTCTAATGTTATTGTACATTTTTGCGGCGCCATTTCTAAGATTGATCGGACAAACAGAGGACATATCACGGGAAGCAGGGAAAATGGCTTTATATATGATTCCTCAGCTTTATGCATATGCCATGAATTTTCCAATCGCCAAGTTCTTGCAGGTATAGGTTGATTCAGGATTCAATTTGATGGTTAAATTTTTAAGTTCTTGTTATTGAACATATTATACGTTTGAAATTACGAGTTAAACATTTAACATTTGGTAGAATTTTAGTAATTTTCTCACACACACATATAAACACTCTCAATGTCAAAATCTGCATTGCAGGCACAGAGCAAGATTATGGTCATGGCATGGATTGCAGCAATATCTTTGGTTCTGCATACTTTTTTTAGCTGGTTATTTATGCTAAAACTTGGGTGGGGACTCGTTGGCGCCGCCGTGGTACTAAACTCATCGTGGTGGTTCATAGTGGTGGCGCAGCTGCTGTACATATTTAGTGGGACTTGTGGACAAGCTTGGTCAGGTTTCTCATGGAAGGCTTTCCATAATCTTTGGGGTTTTGTTAAGTTATCTCTTGCATCAGCTGTGATGCTATGGTAAGTTATCCACAAAAATTTCATCTTCTTTCATTTTGTTTTGGCCTTTAACTCTTAGTGGTGCTTAATATTTGGTTTTATTATATTTGAAGAATCAATTTCTTTAAATTGCATTGACAAATAAAGAGTTTACGTTCCGCGTATTAATTGCTTACAAATCTTTTACATCACCAGGTTCAGTTGATTTACAATAATAGATAATTTTCGAAGAAAGATAGAGCCTAATTTTCCAAGAAAAATACTTGTACCTTTGTAGATTAGTGATCTATTATGTTTCTGATAATTATGGTTTTCTTGAACTGATTTAGTTGGTATCTAATTACTATGCAGCCTGGAAACTTGGTACTTTATGGCATTGGTCCTCTTTGCTGGTTACTTAAAGAACGCAGAAATCGCTGTTGATGCCTTGTCCATTTGGTGAGTGCCGGATTACTCATTTGACGCTTGTTGTCTGGCCATAATAAGAAGTTTTGACTCTTTAAGGGGCCGTTTGGTATAAGGGATAAGTAAAAATAGTGTTGGGATAAAAATTTAATACCATCTTATACCTTGCTTGGTAACCTAATCTGGATAAGTTATCCGGAGATTAAAATAAGTACCGGGATAACTTATAACTTATAGGGGATGAGATAATTAATGCTGGGATTATTATCCTAGGACAAAATAGTGAAATTCAAACAATAGCCCTAAGGTCCTCAAACCCTTTTTCTACGTCATTCACAAAAAACTGGTGGATCTTGGTTGAACCTCTGATGTGCATTTTTTTTTTTTTCAAATCGCAACACATTCCATGAATATTGAGAAGACCAAGAAATCAGTAGCATTATATATATGGAAATTAGCTATCTTACATCTGAAGGAAACAGGTTAGTAAATATGATAACATTGAGACCAATTAATTTAACAAGAGTTATATCATTCCTTGGGGTGAATACTTTGCACGACAGCCTCAATCACTTCCTTGGCTCTTTCAAATACATATGGTCCTTTAACTCATCAACTGGGGTGCCTTCATCAATGTCATCACTAGTTCCGTGAGTTTCCTTGTGATGCTGAGGTTTTTTGTCCTTGTGAATCATAGCCTCAATCTCTTCCTTTGCTTGATCTATCAAATTTGGTGCTTTTACATCTTTTGCGTCAGCAGTAGATGTTGGGGCTTCATTGCCTCTGAAGTGGAGTTGGTTGTGTGTAGGATCTGGTGAAAGTGAAGATCATAGCATATGCAATATTTTTTATATAATGTTTGATGCTTTAAGTAGTATAAGTCAAGTTGTTGAACCGATATTTTTTGTATGGGCACAACTCTTGTTGCCAGGAATGGTAGAGCAATATTTCTTCAAATTTGGTTCTGCAATAGGGATTAAAGTTAGGAAGAAGATTTAGAAGAATGAAATCAGCAAATATACAATAACACAACAACAACATAGTCGGTATTATCCCACACACCGTGGGGTCTGGGGAGGGTAGTGTATACGCAGACTTTACCCCTACTTTGTAATGATAGAGACGTTGTATTCAATAGACCTTCGACTTAGGAAAACATAAGTACCACATTAATGAAAATATAGATAAGAAGGGATAGTAAGAAATCAGCAAATATATTTCAAAGAACTGAAAACTAGAGCCTCGAAAGATTATTTAATACTTGTTGATGTAAGAATTGGAAATTGACGTATGTCATTTGGATAAAGGAGCAAGAAGATGGAGGCTAAATAAGATGGAGGATATTTTTGTAAACAAACAACTTCTTCTTAGAAATTATGCAATGCATATTATTTTTAATATAATATACTAAATAGTAGATAAAAAATAATACCGGGATAACTAATACCAGCATAACTAATCCCAACATAATTAATTTTAACGTTACTTATCCCATCATAACCTATCTTCGAACCAACGACCCCTAAAACTATATCATACTATTCTACTTTAGTGGCTATTGTAGACGACAAAGGAGTAGTTGGGGTGGTTTGACTAATAATTGTTTGAGGACAACATTTGACAGTCCCTCACTTGTCCTTTGGTGCAAGGTAATTAGAGATAAAATCTAGTAATACTAATACACTACTAGCAGGGAGTAATTTAATTAATAATTTGCAAAGATAATACTGATTTAACAAAGAATTAAAAATAATGTCATTTTTCAGAAGAGGCTTGCGTTATACTGCTATTGCTTGGAGATAAAAACAAACTTTGACAATGCAGAGAGAAGAAGTGGATTCCGCCAATGCCTAATTGTAACTTGTAAATATCATTTAAATGAACTTAAAATGTCAATATCCAGAGGTTATCTTCCCATTACATGCATTAATTGTTATTATTATTATTATTATTATTATTATTATTATTATTATTATTATTATTATTATTATTATTATTATTAGAAGTAATAATTGGACAAAAACTGAGACAACGAAATCAACTACTAAAAGAAGAGCTCTTTAATTATTCCTCGGAAAAGGCCTCCTATCTAGAACACAATTAGGGGTGTACAAAGAAAACCGACAAATCGCACCAACCCAATAATCCAAGTCAAACCAGGAAAAATAATTCGACTATGGTTTGATTTGATTTGATTTGGTGTTGGGAAAAAAAAACCCGACCATAATTGGTTTGGTTTTAACTAAAGAAAGTCATACCGAAACCAAACCAACCCGACATTACATATATAGAAATTTTAATAGATATATTTAATATATAAATATATTTATTGTGATGTAATTTATAAATATTTCTTAAAAAATTTCATAATTTTATCTTTTAACGTATTATTTCAAGGTTGGACTTAGAACTTTTGAATGTTCCAATAATTTTTATAGCCATTAATATTGTAAAAACATCACGATATAGCCAGTTTTCAGACTGGTCATTCAAAAATAGCCAGCGTTTACGAAGTCAATGAAAAATAGCCACTATTTGCTGCAACAGAGACCAGTCCAGCATAATATATTGGAGTTCGGTGCACCTGTGTATGAACTCCAGCATATTATGCTGGACCGGTATACTTTGTTGACTCCAATATAATATACTGGAAACTAGAGCACCGGTGCTCCAAACTCCAGTATAATATATTATACTGGACAATTATACTTGCTGGAACTCCAGTATATTATGCTGGAGTTCTAGTGTACTTATGCTAGAACTCCATCATATTATGCTGGAGTTCCAGCATACTTATCCTGGAACTCCAGTATAATATACTGGCGTATTTTCCGGGTTTTGAACAGTGTTTTCGCTCAGATTTATCTTTACATGAAAAGTGGCTAAATTTCGATTACTTTTGAAACTGGGCTATTTTTGAACGACCAGTTGTAAATCTGGCTATTTTTGAATTTCTCCAATTAATATTAGTGAATGAAATAATGCTAACAAAAGCCCAAACCAAAATCAAATCAATACTAATGCTAACAAAAGACATTCAATTCCATACATTTTTTGTTTTGCAATAATTTAGATAAAAATGCATAACCTATTTTTATTTTTTCTTTAGCATTTAGTCATGTAATTGATACTCCCTTATTAGTCTACTTATTTTAGCATGACTTAGTACTTTTAGGTTATGTTTATTTTTATTATGGCTTTTTAATTAGCAATATTTATATTACATATCTTTATTGTCTTTTTGTTGAATATTTTAGGATAATGCCATGACACATCTCATATTTTGTATTATTTTCTTGAAAAATACTTTATATAGTTATATCTTAGTAGGATTAAAGGAATATTTTGAGCACAAGTTATATGTTTGGTTCTACAAAGATTTTACCGAAAAAAAATCCGAAAAAACCCCGAATAACCCAAAACCCGAGAAAAACCGAGATTGAAAAACCCGAGTTTTATTGGTTTGATTTGGTCTTTGAATTTAATAACCCGACACAATTGGTTTGGTTTGGTAATTGTAAAATCCGAACCAACCCGACCTATGTATACCCCTGAACACAATAATGAAAATACGGAAAGGAAAGATCCTACCTAGATTAGCTGAGCGAAAGCTAACTTTAGGCATGTTCCATGAGAATTGAGATGATATTATTTGTATACTTTGGATTCAAGAATATATTCACTAGTGACACTTCTATAATTTATAATCTAAGATTTGTAAGGCTATAGTCCCTAAAATGATTACTAGTCCTTTTCACTATGTTTCACTTTCGTACTCTTTCTCTCCCTTTCACTATGCTTCACTCTCTTACTTTTTGGTACACTAATTTTTTCTTTATTTTTTTCAAAAATTATTTGAAACATCTTTTCTCTTTAAATTTAGCTACTTATATTTGAAATTAGATTTTATTTCTGTAACATGCATAGGCAACTGAGCCTGACATTAGTTCTAATAAGTAATGGTATATATGTGAATATGCATGGTGTACTTTTTTTCTCCGCATAGCTTCTTTGGATATGGGGGATGGGTTTTATTTTGTTGAGAAGGTGTTAGAAATTCGGGAGGTCGTGATCGTCAAATATGCATAATGCATCCATGTATAATAATTTCTATGTGGATGAGTCCATGCCACTGGTCCAAGGAGAGAAAGAAAGAATAGAATGAAGAAGGAAAACAATAGGAAAATATATAATATTATAGTAAAATCAATGTTATAAAAATAAAAAAATTTAAACATTTTTTGGCTTCTCACTCTATTCAAGAGAGTGCATTTCACTCTCTTCCACATCAAGGGATAATATTTAACTTTCTTACCACCAAGTATAGCATGTTGTTGCATGGAAAACAAGCTATCGTGATTTAATGTTTTCACTCACTTCAACTTTGAGCTACGCAACTCAACTCCTCGGCTTACTTTATATATATATATATATA